GAGAAGTTTAATGATGATCTTTTTATTCCCTATTAATTAAATGGGTGCAATTCTGTGAAATACCCTATGCTCTATATTTCTTTGTAAAAGCTAGAATTAACTTAGAAAGGTACTCATACCGGGAGTTAGTAGGGTCATTACAGTATGTAACCAACATTAGACCAGAATATAGTTGGTGGTAAATAACACAGGACCTCAATTCATTTAGAAAAGAACATTGGGAAGCTGCGAATGCGTTTTAAGATATGTTAAAGGCATCAGCCACTATCATTAAGATGTTCAAGGAATAATACACGTTGATAGCCCAGTATACATATTCCAAAAATCGTATTGGAACGAGATTATCAAGGTATTAGTGTGAAATACCATTACATCAGACGAAATTTAGAAGGTGACTATCTATATAGAGTTTTTCCCCTACTAAGGAAATGCTTGCAGATTTTTAACAAAGGGTATAGCCAAGTGCAGTACATAAACTGGGTAAGCACGCTTATGTACAGTAATTGCCCAAATTTTGGGTGAGGGTGGTGGTGAGAATAGCTTTGGGACTCACGTTTCTATAAATGAACTTTTTCCTGTTACTTATGATGTAAAGGAATTTAAGCATATGCTGGCCTTATTATATATATAATTAAAGCAAATACTTCTCGAATAAATATTTCTTTACTTTTTTACTTCAATTTTCCTTCTTTTGTTGTCTTATTAGCGTTCTTGTGCGTATTTTATATTTATAACCTCTAATTTTTTAATAAAAAGACTTTTAACTTCGATAAAGTCGTAATCCGTGGATTTATTGAAGTTGAAGTTCCGAGTTGTCCTCAACAAAACACAGTTTTTGTGTCGTTGGGTGGCTTCTTCAAAATTCATATACGTAAAATTTTAAAAGCGCTTCGTGTGTATCTACCAGCTCTTCCAGTCTGTGTAGTAGAACAGCCATTTCAGTTTTGCATACTTCTAAATTAGGCTAACAGGACTTTATTTGCTGGGGTATAGTGAAGCACGCGGAAGTTGAGGTTGCATTACACCAGTGGATGCTTTCCATCGTGTTGAGGAGCCAAGCGACGTTGCAGAATTTGCAAAACAGGAAAGGTTCTTGATAGCTACAAGCGGCAACTTTTTAGCAAATTATATCTATTACCGTCGGGGCCTGGTGCTTTCTAGTGCAGATACCATGCTCAGTTTGGTAAGTCCGTCGCCAACGTTTGAAGGGCCTTGCGGTATCTTGCCCTCCTCCCAAGAGGTCGCCCAAATTGGAGAAATGCATTTGAGGTGCAAGATGGTCGGCAAAGAGCACCGCACCGCTTCATCTTCTTCGCTTTCAGGTACATTTACGCCGTTATTAAATGGAGAAGGTGGCATGTAGCAGCAGTTTTTAATTCGTTTACAAGCTTTAAAAAGATATTTGTTCTTCCTCGGCCGCTACAGACACCTCCAGCAGTTTCCCCTTCCAGCGACTATTGAGAAAAATATTCAACTTTTTTTAAATGTCTCTATGAAGACGGTTTAGCGTCAGTTTTTTGTCAGAGTTTTGCTTGGCAACAGCTAGGCATATCAACCGAAGGCGTTGACGAACATGGTTCATTAAATAATCTGGTAGACGACCAGGGCGATACGCAACTTCAAGGCTGGTTATCCTGATAGCACGGGCAGCTTTCAGTGCGCCCTCAAAATTGTTAATTGCTCTCCTAATAGGAAGGAATTAGGTGGGGCCTCTTATTTTCACTCTTTATATATTATATTTTATTTTAACTACTCAACCACGTGCTCATTTACAAATTTAATCCTTGAAAGATGCTAGCTCATTATTTATCTTCTTTTTCTCTTTGTATTCGCACCAAACAGATGCAGCACCTTCTTAAAGAATCACTTTTATGGTTTTAATACATTACACTCATAATTACTCGTCTTAAGACATTCAATTTGGCATTGTCACTTCATCAGAAAACTATCCATGCCCTCTAAACCCCTGTAACGTTATCTCCCCGTCTCTCTACATCCTTGTTAGACCTTCCCTCCACGTCTCTTCTTGCCCTTTTTTAGATAAATTCGCATACACTCACGTTCTTCAGCCATAGTAGCCTAGATCTAGTTCAAATTTGAAAAATCCAATTATTTTTGGAAGTTTTTAATAAAAAATACTATTCTCATCCTTTTCCTTTATTTGCTTATGGAAAGTGCAACTTAGCTACCTTACTAAGTTTTTATAATTTTTTTAACACTGAATTCCTACACTAATTACTTAATTAAAAGTCACTATTACACGCTTATTTTTATGCATAGTTCTTTTGCTCAAGTTATTGTGCTATTTTTTAAAAACCCGTGATACCTTTTTTAAAAAGATTAAAAGCTAATTTGTATAAAGAATTTATTTGGTCTAAAGGGCCAGATAAGCGATTGTTAACCCCGCACTAAAAAAAAGTAGTCTTAGAGACAAGCACCTATAAAAGAAATAACCGTTGTAAAATCTTTTTACCTGTATTTTTTTACATTTTAAAGGTATTTTAATACATAAAGAGCCCGCTCTTATTGCGTAGTCGTAAATTTTTCGCGTGAAAGGCAAAGAGGTGTTAAATTAGATTTCTAAACACTTTACTTTAATAAAACTCTCATTTCTAGAGCAATATGGCGAGCGATAGCTAACATATATTTTTTTCACCTACTACTTAAATCACATACATACTAAAAAAACCTTAAGGACTTTTTAGTTGTATAAGAAAGTCGACAATATTAGTATCAAAAAAAAACAATTGGAAAACCAGTTTTATGATTTTATTTTTACTTAGACAAAAATTTTTTGTTTCTACGCTGCTTCTATATTTAGATGTTTTTCTTTAAATTAACTCTTCAGTATTAAAGACTTTTAGAAGTAATGACATGGTAAATAAAGTATTAAAGGGCTAATTTATATATGAATTATCTATGTGAACATGATTTCTATAGCGGGCTCGTTATTATAAATTAACAATGTATACTATAAAGGAGTATTCCTAATTATTATTTATAAATAACAAAAAAAAAGTTTTTAAAAAGCGTTATTCTTGGTCATTCAATATTCATGTAAGAAATTTTATATCTTTGCACAAACCGTGGTGTTGCGTTTGACTCTTTTCTAAAGTTTGCTGCCGCACTCTACGATATTTATTTTTGTATAAATAACTTTTCCTAATGCTAGATCGACTCTATAACTTTGAATACTAGAGATCTCAATCAGAAGTAATCGCAGCCAAAGAACATTTTACTCCTAAATCGATTGTTGCTTCAGATGTTTTCAACTGTGTCGTTCCGACTGCCCGTCACGAAGTACTCTCGTTGATACATAGTCGTCTCTTAACAAAAAAGCAGAGAAAAAATAGGTGGGATCGATATCTTTTATAGAGTTGCTTCCCACTTCACCCGAGAGACAGCCTGGGACAAGCGCGTAATCACAGTTACTATACGTTATACACAGATTGTGCTGTTTGCATTTTAACAATCCAATACAAATTCCCTTTAGCCCTTACTTCTACGGGCATTGTCCCTCCTAATTATGCGTTATATTTATTTAACTTTTAAAATGCTGATTTGGTCTACAGACGCCATTAGCCAGGGTCACGTGGGAGCCTAGAAAACGGCGTTTGCTCTGAGGGTGGTGAGTTTCCTTTCGCACAAATCACGGCATGTTTGTCATTACGCGCAGCTTATTGTCTCTCGCACTTGGAATGCAGACGCTATTGCCGGAGGATGGTGATCCATGCGGTAGGGCGATTGTCATAACCTACTTAAATCCAAGATATATGCGATCGTCGTTAACTACGCGGTGAAAGCAAGCTCTCGCTGCAGAACTAAGGGTAAAGAGCCTATGTGGCCTGCTTTGACCTTCGTCACTACTTAGACCACATGCGAGCGCCAAAATTTGTTGACAGTGACGTCTCTAAGATATTTGCTTTAAAGCACTACGGGGTCTTCATGCCATCAAAGGTCAAAGGTGCCAACCGGGGTACGTGTTTTCGTTATTAGGAGGGTAAAGCTCGTCGTCGAGTCATAGCAACTTTTCATTTACGACACCATCCGGCGCGGGCGGGAAACTATGAGGGACGAGTATATGGTTTCACCATTGGCATATAGGGCGACACGCGTGTGAGAATTAATTGACAAAGGCACGTCGCGCATTACAGATTACGGACAATAGAGAAGAGAAAAGGGATCTCTGAGGGGCCCGTAGTGTCAGTGATGGCGACGACGGCTGTGTTTCTCCCATTCGCAGGCTGAAGAAGCAGGCGTATGAATATAACTTTAGCGTCTAGTAAAGATCGTGAGGGACAAGCAATGAGCACAGCTTGTGCAGCATACCTCATGGAAACTTGATCAAAGGTCTTTTCAACGTTTAAGAAGATGGCTGTTGCCTTTATAAAGTTAATAGCGCGAGTAGTCCGTTTAGTTAAACAGAGGAGCTACTGGGACATGAAGCTTCTCTGCCGAAACCAAGCTGGAGCTCCGGCAAGGGGGCACGAGAGTTAACAATCTGCCTTTTGTCTAAGTAAAGCTTCGAGGACCGCTCGAATCTCGTCGGCATTAACTAGGTCAAGTGGCTCGTTGGCAACGTTTAGGTTTAGGGGAAATTCGTCTAATGGAACGCATCTTTGGCTGCTAAGAGAGCAGGGGCACGTTCTGGGCAGCGAAAAGCGTAGCAAGTCTAAATTGCTTTTGGCCACAATATTTCCTTCGCGCAGTGGTACTAGTGATACATGCTCGCGATTTCTGACCTGTTCCCCAAATTTTCAAAAGTAGGGACGGACGCCGTGAACTGACTTCAAAACATGGCCTATCTTTGCCTGCCATCTACAATAAGAACGGGCCATCAACTTCTTTCGAATAAACCTGTGCAGTCGGTCAAGAGTTAGTTCGTGGTCGGAGCCCTCGACAGCACAGAGCTCGCTCAGAGGAACAATGAGAATTTAACGATAAGGAAAGATTCAACGCTTCAAACTCCCCTCACATCCTACTGTGTTTGGCGTGTGAACCTTCGCGCCGTTGCACAAAGTTTACTAAAGTTTTCTGTAGAGATGCCACGGTTCTACAATAAATTGTTCTCTATTTTTATTTTTACAGCCTTCTGGTTCTCTTTGCTTTTAATCCGTTATATAAACTATGATCTTCTAAAGTCTCAGCATAAGCATTTGAGATTTGTGGTCCTTTCCGATTTAGGAATAACAGGAACAAATTTTATTTTGTTACTTAATAAAAATAACATCAGTTTTATTTTGTTGGTACCACTTTTCGCGCTTGAGAAGGGAGGAGGTTATTTTATTTACTTTGGTGAATTTAAAAGCTTTTCTAACTATATAATTAGGGATGGCACGAGTTTTAATCTTAAATTATTTAAGAACTCTAGGTGTGGACTGTAAAATAATTGATTCCTGCACAAGAAGTATAACTTTCAATAGTTTTTTAACAAATATATGAAGTAGCCTTTTCTTCTGACTTCCATATATGAAAAGGCACCCTGTACGCTAGTGGAGCTTTCCTAAGTGCAAGTCATGCTCTTTTGCTTATTGATGAAGGTACAAATTGTTTTATTTAGAAAACTTAAAAACTTAATATAAACTTCAAGAAATCAGGAATTTATCTGAATTCGTAAAAAATCATACTAGCTGTTTATTTTCGTTTCTAGAAGCTTGTTTACAAAAAAAAGACATATTTGTTTCTTTGTCTTTCATTTCAGGTAATTTAACTTGTTATTTTTTTAGCTCCAACTTTTTAACATACATTCTGCAGTTGGTAAGCCCTCTAGTTATATCCTTAACTATATTTATAGTTTCATATCCTATTATCGAGCGGTAAATGTAGTGGCCTTCAGGTTACACATATATTTATATTACTACAATAATTTTCAGAAAGGGAAACTAGAAGTTTTAGTTTTCCACGTTCCTTATTCAGTTTTTGGGCCCTGGGAATCGAGAGACGGCCCTTCTTTCACCCTTTTGGAGGCTCTCAATAAAAATATCTCTGGGTTTTGTCCCCCGTTATTGTCAAAAGAGTTGATTTCCGTTGAAGATGTGTGTGACGGAATGTTATCGAGTATGATATCACGAAGCTATACAAAAGGCTTCAAAAATGTACGTAAATAACTATTTTTCTATATTATTGTAAAGTTTTTTGTAAGTTAAGTAGCCTTGCGAAGCGAGGATCCGAAATAGTTGTAAGCTTGAGCCAGCTGGGCGCTCACTCAAACTTTTTTTTTAAAGTAGTAAATTTTTAACGTAAAGTTAATATCTTTACCAAAAAATCACCTGTTTTCATATGGTCTGAAAGAACTGCATTTCTTCTGCTTTAAACCCTACTCCCATAGTGGCCGTCAAAAACTTTTTACTTTGGTCGCAACAATGGTTGTATAATAATTCTACGTAAGCCCAGCATTTTTCTCGCCTTCATATCAGTTTCTGTCTATTTTGCGAACTTTCTGCAGCAACTTTAGCGGAAGTCTCACACCCTCCTCACAGCTTTGGATTAAACGAAAGAACATTTGGCTCACCAGAAAGCAAGATAAGGATCTCCAACGATATATCGCCTACGCTAGGGAGACCGGCTTAGAGCTTCCAAAGACTTTAGGTTTCAAGTTTAAAGGGGGCTTCGTTTTTCTAAAATTCTGTGAACAGGTCCTAAAACTTTTACTTACTTTCACGGAGTATTACACGGGGGGACTACTTTAATTCACTATAAGACCAAAGATTTAAAGGTGATTATTATGTGCTGTTAGTTGTGTTTTTGGTATCAAGTAGCAGTTAAAAGCCCGTTCTCTATTGAACATTTGCTTTTTGCTTTAGCTTCAATTTTCATAAAAATTATTTTTACGGTAATTTTAAGATTCTTGAGAAATTCTGCAACAGGAATCCCAGGTGCGTTGGTTTTATTTCCACAGGAGAGCTGCTGCGCGCCGTCGAACCCCACAATTGGTGGTTGTACTCGGCCGCACCTAATTGTACTTCTGGACTTTATCTTGCAGGTTAAGCGCTTCACGGAAAAACCATTGCTTTTTGTCTGATACTAAAAACTTACAGAAAACATCGACTTTTGCAAGTCCCGCCACTTGAATATGTGCGGGGGCTCTTCGGAGTGTAGAATGTTCTTGAATTACAGGTCGGCGGAAGCCATTTCCAGTGTAACTCTGTTAATAAAGTGTACTGACGCTCAGCTATCGGTGCGAGTGCCCTCATGGGGAAATTTACACCAGAGCAAAGGAGTGTAAAAACAATACTGAAGGTAGCGGTACGTCGAGGTTTAGTAGCATATCTTCTCTTGAAATTAATTATTCGGAACTTCATGTTCCAGCTCCCCCTTTAGAGGACTATAAAACTTTCAAAGGTACTAAGGGAGTTCACGTGGTGGCGTGTGTAGATCGCAACCATTTGTCTGGTAAACTCTCACTTGAACCCTACAAGCCTGAAGGACATCAAATTCTCGTCACATAATACTATTACCGATATCTTATAGGAGTTCCTAATCTTATTAATTCAGTAGCTGTAAACAGCCAGTATCCCGAAAATATATTTTTTCACGTGGTAAAGGCAATCATAGTGGTGGACTTTCTACCGCACCGTGCCATTTACTGCTTCTTGATAGGTCACCGATGCCAACGATGCAGTTTTAGTGGAACGCGCAATTGCTTGCCGGGTCTACGGAGATAATACCCAGAAAAGTGTTGGCAGCCTTTTTACTATAAACCTATCTCCTCATTTTACCTTTTAATTTTTTACTAAAGGTAAATATCGTAGTCCATTACTTTGACACTCGACTCATACGTGGACTATATAAAGTGCTTCTATCATCTTATTATAAAAAGTTGAGAGCAGTAAACTACTTCGTTAGGTGTACACCCCCGCAAATTTTGCTGGTAAACTGAGCTCATCAATGAACTTTGCAAGATTTTACCTGCCTAAACTTATCCCAAACATCCCAATGCTGATATATGTTGACGTGGACATCAGTACTTTAGTAAATAACTTTAGTACTACTTTGCCTAAAGAAAGCCGCTCGATTGCGGTTTAAGTTTTTCAGGATGATGTGATAAAGCTATGGAAGGAGGCAAAACAAAAATTTCAGGATCCTTCTCTTGTATTTACCGTAGTTCCGCGAGCATCAAGTGGTCTTACAGAGAGAGTAAAGCAACTTTTCACCGAAAGAAGCGGTATAACTTAAAATAATAAATTTCAACTTTAAAAACTTTCACTCGGAACGCGCAGGAGTTGCCTTCGAAGAAGAAAAGTTTGTTCAATTCAACGCAGGACTGTACGCTTTTCGGGTAGATCGCTGGCAGAAATTACTTCTTACCCGCGAGGCTGAGTTTTGGATGGCTTTTACTCTGCACGAGAAACTTTGGGAGTTTGGCACTCAACCTGTTAGTGCGACTCTAAGTTTAGAAAAGTATATAACTACTTACAATTTAAGGTTCACAGATTCTGTGGTTACTATCGTACGGTCGCGTAGCAGCGCTCAGCAGTGACTGGAACATCGAAGGGCTTGGTTGGAGAGAGATTCCTCTTGAGAGGGTGGCATCTGCTAAAGTCTTGCACTGGTGCGGAAAGCACAAGCCTGTAAGATTATTTTGAAACTACCGAGTGAGACTGGCTGTTTTTTTTTATGGATTTTTAATTTAAAAGTGGGAGCAGTCCTCAAAACACAAAGAGCTCTGGGAAAAGTATACACCGCACAGTGTTTGTTGAATTACTTTAAATGTCTATCTTATAGCCAAAAATGGTTTGTCAAAAGATTAAAACTTTTTTATATTGCCCCGGCAAGAGTAGTTGCCATTTTAATTTTTTTGCTACGCCATAACATTTTGATCTTTTTATGTCTTTATTAAAAAAATAGTTTTAACAACTGAAAGACTTCTTCCTGATCTTCAGTATATTCCCGCAAGGGAGTTACAGACGCCAGCAGGCTATCAATCTCTATGCCTTGAAAATTAAACATTTTTTCTCGCCTACTCTCGTTTTCAGTATTACTATTTTGTTGTCGATTCTGCCGGTAGTCACTACCAAACTCGCTCTTATAATTCTTTATAGCGACACACACGCAGTAATTTTTTTCCAGATAGGACTGTTCGAAAACCCACTCATCCACCAAAGCCGAATTAACTACTAAACGGGTCGACTGACACACAATATCCGTGTCTTCTGCTTCTTCTATAATAATAAATTAAGTCACCGGCTCTTTAGCTTATAGGTTTCCATTGAATTACATAACTTTAATGGATGTGTATTGTATATATAAAGTAAGGGTCACAGCTAACTAACCCAATTGCCTAAATTTCAAAGAGGAAAGATTAGTGCCCAAACCAGAACCAGTGGCCTTGACATATGCTTCCCTCAAAGACCAACTCCGGCAAAAATACTTCAGGGGCTCCTGTAAGAATTAGCAATTTATATTACACTTTGGCGTTAAGCACTTGTAAGTTCAAATTTCAAAAAAAGAAGCTGGCAAACTACAAACTTAACAAAGGAGTGGAAACCTTCGAGTGAAGAATTTTGATCCACTCTTCCTTGTTAAAAAAGGGCTTGTATACAAAAAGTTCTTTTACAATATCACGAGTGTTCTGAATCAAATTGTGTTAAGTTCAGTGAAAAGAGTTAGTAATGTAGTTAAGTTTACCTTAATACAATTAAAGGCTACTACATCAACGCCAATGGAGTTTACAACCTCCTCATAATGCGCACCATTTACACGATGTTGCTGGTACCGAATTGCCGAAACTGCAACCGCAATATTGCCTTGATGAGAGACGTTAAAGCTTACGGCCTCGATGGGATCTTCATAACGGGCAGGCTTTACAAGGACGGGTTTATTACGCGAATCCCTTGCAAAGGTCAAGCAGTTAGATCCCACTGACAAAGAAGACGAAACTGCTTTTCGAAGAAGAAGACGGCCAACAACAGAAAGCTTAAAGTCGTTCAGAGTTAAAATACTAAAGAAAAAAAATTATTTTAACAATTAATTGCGATTACACAAAAACGAAATCGTAATTCATTTTAATGGCTTGTCTGCCAATTCTATTAATGAACAAAGAATACTTCACGCATATATACCACAAGACTTAGCAATTAACTTTTTTATTATTAAAGTACTATATTTACACTTTCTCTATATATTATAACCCTTTCAGTCTTGATATTTCGTCCTTCTGAATTCTGCAAAGGCACTGCAATAACTGTTGGAAGTCTGGTTCCCAATCAGAAATGTTGCAATATAATCTGATAATTGGCATAAAAACAGATTTTAGCAGTATTAATCTCTCCACTTTCTATTTTGCTCAAGTAAAATATAAAGTTTTAGTCCAAGGGGCCCTCCAAAAGATTTTAAGGTTAAACTTTTTTTTGTATTTGTACGGCCTACTTAGTAATTTACACATACATCGCATTCTTTCGTATTTTATGTCGATTAGGTCACTTTTTGCATGTACCCCCAGTATCTTCTTTAACTTTTGAAACCCACATGCAAAAAATTTCTGTACTTTTGTCTATTTAGCTGACTTAAAAGTATTTAATATTCTTTTCTAGCCTGCGCTAGGCCAATAAATGAGTTATGGTAATTTCATGTCGAGTGTCCGTAAAAGCTCCCTACCTTACATGCCCTTTCTTTAAGTGTTTAAAGAAGGTAACCCTTAGGGTTATGGTTTCCAACTAGGTTAAGGTTAGGATTAAAATACTTTATAAAAATGTAAAAAAATCACTTAACAAACCAATCAATCAGTTACAGAGTAGCTTACTAAAATATTTTTAAATTTTTTTGGCATAGTTGGTCGAGTATCCACGTGTATAACACCTTAACAAGCTTTATGTTTTCGTAGTGTATAAAGTAAAATCTTATTTTAGTAAATGTTGAACTTAATAACTTAAAAAACGTGGAAAAAGGCTCTTGGCTGTGTGAGATAGATTAAAGTAAGCCCTTCACTTTCGTCCGCAATTATTTGCCTTTGTTAAGACATAGCTTATGCACTAGTTTTTGAGGTTACCTAACACCTGGACTAAATTAACAGCCGAAAAGGTAGAATCCTTTCCAATGCTAGAGTTCTACTTTGGTAGAACATAACTAACCCACCAGATATGCTAATTAGCTTGCTCTATCAAAGTAGAACGAATTAACTTTCCTAGTGGGAGGAAAATAGAGAAACCTTTTGGCGACTTCTTAAGACCCGAATGGGCGACCTCCACTGTTTAATATGTAGTAATCACCTGTCTTCAGAAGTTCTTGGCTGATTAATAGCAAGAGGGGACTTCTTCTTTTTAGTATCTTTATTTTTCTGTCTGCGCTCTTAAGCTATTTGTCTTCTAATATATTTTTATTTTTTTTTTAAGCAGTAAAAGACTTCCAGTTATCTGGGTAAAGCTAAACTTATTGACCAAGTAGCGTTAGAGTTAGTTACAGCAAGGACAAGTTGTGGAAACTGGAATTCTCTAGTATATCTTTTTTTTTTACTTGCTAATCATCTCGCTCTTCATAAAAAATAATTTTTTTTTTAGAAGCAGTTTTCTATTATCTAACCTTTTAAATTTTAAATTGATTTAAAAAGTATTTAAAGGATGATTGCAATTAGTTATTATACTAAAATATTACGCTTTTTTAGGCTTAAAGGGGTGAGAAGCATATTTATATTGTAAAGTGGGAAGAGAACCACGCACTTACTGCCCATTTTTCCCAGTATTTATAATTTCAAAGGTGCATTCCTATTGGTAGAAATGAATTTAATTTTGCCAGATTAGTTAAACATATTCAAATAAATAAGGAGATCAAGTTACTTCAATCCCCCCTAAGGTAAGAGTAACAGTAAGAAAAGAAGACAGTTTTATTAAACTGTTTCGCAATCGTGTCTAAGGATTAAGCTGCCTTAAGAGGGCGAAATTTTAGGCCAATAATAAACCTTAAAATAATTATGCCTTTAAGCTTCGACTACTATATATAGAAAGTTTTATAAGCCTTTGGCATATACCAGGTCCCTACTTTAAATTTTATTAATTCATATTTGTTATAAAGCCAGCCACCAAAATTAATGTTAAAAACTCGCTTATTAAATTTCAAGTCAAATATAACTTAAACCCCCCTACTAATCTATAAATTTATTCGTTTTTTTATCTGGTTTTTTTTACTGCATTGTCAACATTGCTCTTATCCTTTTACGTGCAGCATTTTTCCCATGATAATTAAATGAGGTTTCTATTTGTAATTCTTATAACTTTTGTTTGATTCTTGGTGGTGATGAATAAAGTTTTAACCTAGATTAGAATTTTATTATTATCAGTTATTTATTATTATCTCCTTAAGCGCTAAACCTCTTTACGTTTACAACCAAAACTAGCTTCATCAGGTGAAAGTAATAACGTAAATTGTTGTATGACCGGTAAATGAGGTCTCCTACCGGCAGTCTGTTAGAGAGTTTAAGCAGTCGTTCGTATTTGAGGCGGCTCTGAAAAACGATCCAGCAGCACTTCCTAGAGACCATTGTAATACATTGTTTTGCAAAAAGCAGCTTGTTTTGTCTTACATGAAGCGAGGGCTATACTGCCGGTGAGTCGTAGCTCTAGAGCAACATACAAGTGTGGCATAGTTCCAATATATGATTTAAGTGCGGTCTTCGTGACATCGTCTTCTAAGATCGGAGGCGGTGGTGGTGAAACGGTTTTCTTCGTGATAAAAAGGTTTTGCTCTCCACCGCACTGATAGTATTTCTTCACCAGCGACACTAGGTGGTGAGTGCGATAAATAGTTACGCAGATACTGGATAAGTAGGCGAGCAATTTTGATGACGAGTGGCCGCGGTATCTACTGCGCATAAGGCGATTTACGATGAGGACTGACTAACAGAAGCAGTCGTGCACATAAAGCGCCAAAAACAAGCTTGATAGGAGAGAACCCTGCGAAACTTTTGCTGGCAGCAATGCATGATCCACACAGGTGCATAAAATGCGGCCTTTAAACAAAACTTGAGCGCGTCGAAGAGGGCACAAAGGGATAGATGATGCGTAGTTTGTAAAGCAAGCCTTTACTAAACCGGTTAAACTTTTTTTCCACATTAAGTGATTCAGCGCTTATCGCCTTCTCGAAACTGAAAGCACGATCGATTACTCTGTTAGAGGGAGAAACTACTGTGTCGAAGAGCTCTTTTAAAATTCTAATTGAAGCTCTGACAAGACGTCGCAATAGTCGACAAACGCATTAAAGCGGTGCACTATAATTATTTTAGATACTTAGTCGTCGTCTTACATTTCATTATCGATAGGTGATTAATCGTGACAATCGCTTTAACATCCCACGTGTAGGCCAAACTTCTTCCGTTCCGGTAGAGCTTTGTCAATCTTCTGAAAGCTAGTTGTAATGGCAAGTTGGTGTAAGATCTGCTGAGAATCCATCTTTAGTAGCTGTTTTTTTGCAACTGAAGGGGCAGGAGGCACACACTCAGCAGCGAGTTGGTGCAACAGAACAAGACCTTTATCTCAAAATGAAATGAGGTGAAAAGTCGCCACTGTCGTAGCCTGTCCGCACAACAAAAAATTCCATCGACGATTAAAATTTGCAGATAGCTATTTCCAAGAGGTGGGTATGGTCATCTTAGTGCAAATTCGTTTTCCGAGAGTAGGGTCGAGGTTCGTGCACTGAGGTTGGCAGGAATGAGCATCTTTAAATTTGACTAAAAGAATGTTTAGAAGGAGATATACCGCCGGTAGTGCTGAAGGTGCTGGGAGGGTCATTCTCAAGAGGCACGGAAAATTCGGTTCATTCCTTGTAAAAGTTTAGGTGCTCTCTTCGCTACCGTCTTTTTCTCTCCCATTTTAAGCAAAATTGGCAAATGATGATAGTTCAGTTAAAAGAGCCTTATATGTCTTCGAAGTATGTAGATTCTGTAAATCGGATCATCCAACAAGTCTAATGTACCATTATTTCTTTGTGCATTTGGGATACCGCGTCAGAGAACACGTAGTTTGGACTTATTAGCTGCAGTCATAGATACAACTCCCCAATTGATTAATTTTTTTAATCCCTATTTTCCGTAGCCCACTTTGAGCAGACTGGCAATTGATCTGACGAAAATTCGTAAAGAACCTAAATTTCTGTTAAATTTCAAATATTTACTTTGTAAAACGGCACTTTTGATGTTCCCTTCTTCGCCGTGGACGTTTGGTTCTTTTTTTTTTTACATAGCTATTCCAAGCGAAATTCTTGCAGTTAAGATCCTTACATACAACAGCTGAGGGACTACTTATAAAAAAGGCATTTTAGTCTGTGGTTTTTAATGATTTGTTGGAAATCTTATAAGCTGCAATCACAGATGACCCCTGATGATCAAGCAGAAATATACTCAACTGTCTCAACGCTTTGCAAGGCTGGAACAACTCAACGTGTTGAATGTTGCTTTTAAGCAAGATGACTGCCTCCTTACCGCCCTTGTCGAAGCTGTCCTAGTTGTACGTCGAGAATATGCAGAACTTAAAGGAGACCCCGGTAAAAAAGATGATTTTTTAGTATATTCAGCTTTACTTCATAAAAAGCTAGCTTTTCTCAGTAAAGAAGCCGGATATAGCTGGGCGCCCAGGGGCTAAAAACCTTAGCAAACAAAGTCCAGGCCCCTTACTGTCTATATAGCATTGGTGACAGGTTTGTGGAAATATAGCAAGCGGTTGCCGTAGTGTTAGATGCGGTAGTTTAGCAAGTCATCTAGGAGTGGCAATACAAGTTTATTTTTACGAAGTTACATTAGACGAAGTGAGCGTCTGAAGTGTGGCTCAAGCCTTTTAATTGCGTATTGAAAGTCTTAGCGGATAATGTTTTCAGTCCGTAAGTTAGTGGTGTGTGCTGCCCCGCAATATGCATTTGGCGGGACATTCTCGTGCTTCTGTATGCCGTGCACGCAATTAAGTACCCCTCGCCACAATTAATGGATTAAGGGAACATGTGTGTTCGAAGACGGTAACTTTAGCGCTCTCCAACAGGTTACTTTTCCCTAGCTTTTCCACTCTGTCAAAGCGGAAAACAACCACTCCAGTCGGTCACACCTCGGTAGTTGCACCAGAGCCAATGATAAAGGTCGCTTCGTTCCTTTTTTTTTGTGTGCATTCGAACCACATGAAGAGACAAAATACCTTGGGTGATTCTTTTTGGGACGTGGAATCGCAATTAAAGTATGAAACTTAGTGCTTCCATTTACTTAGGTCTATACACGTCTTCTCCTTAATTATAAAAGCTTATTAGAAAAACTATTTAATTAACGAGCCCTAAATGAAAACTTCGGTCAGTAAACAGTTATACTTCTCATTTGAGCAGTTGTTAGCGACCATCTTTGTTAATCATGCTCTACTGATAAAAAGGTTATGTATAAATAGCAATTTTTGTTTTCGGTGTTGAATTCCGCTTATAAGAGCTTAATAATCTCGCACACTCCAATCTTGCACAGTTAATGAGAAAATAAAAACAAGGGCAACAGCTAATAAACCTTGATGATCATTTTATTTGCCGTAGATAACGTATAATTAATACTTTACCAAAGGCTAAATAATCACTTCCAATTTTTGTATTACGAATTTTTACCTTTTGTTTTTGGTTACGGGATCTTGTTCCATTTTATAATTTACATCTAATTAGAATCGAGGCTTTAAATTAATTTTTTCAATATTGTGTTTTTGTACCAAACATTATTTGTATTAAAGAAAAGGAAGATCTTAATCCAATTTAATCATTCTCATTTACAATTATTAACTAGGTATAATTTTACTTTTTAATTGGCCATAGATAATTTTTTCTCAGTTTTTAGTTACCGTTTTGGTTTGTAAAAAAAAATTTGTGCACAAAACTTTGATCCCATATATCTTGTGGCATGTATGTGCGACGTACCTGTTTAAGTTTGTATAGTGTGTAAAGTTACTTTTCTATTTCTAAGTTATATAGATGGCAGTAATTAAGTTAAAGGTTATATACTTGTTATATTCTTCGTGTTACATACAATCTTTTTTCAAATCAATCTTCCATATGCCTTTAACTCAACAAGGTAAGACCAGTTTGCTTTTATCTTGTAAAAAAGAATTTTATAAAAATGTGAATATAAAAAGTTATTTTTATGAGTATTTGTCAGTGTGGAGAGCTAGCTAAATATTTAGTAACATTAAACGGCCTAAAGAATATAACTATAGTTTTAGAATAACTTAGGTGTCCTATAGTTTATATAGCTGTAATTAATAAGGATGTACAAATATGAAATTGCAAAAACACTTCCTTGAGTTTGATACCCTTACCAGTTCTTCTTGAACTCTACTATTATTTAGCAATAAGTTCCTTACTTTAAATGAGCTACTAAAAATTTATGAAATAATATATCAAAGTATTTGTTTTATAGGTGCCGAGGGCTAGAAAACAGTCCTTTTTTGCTTGCAGAATGGTTTGAATTAGAATTATAAGGGGCCTATACACTGCGTGTGAAAACAATGAGATTCTAGTTTTGCAAAGTGTTAGGACTTGAGACCTTAATTAGTGACCGTTCACTCCTTGGCTTAGTGGTTTGATCCTTGCCTTTGCGAATGCACATGATTTTACTAACGACAACCTCTAGTTAAACCATTTTTTTTACATTTTTTTTAACTTTGGAAGAAAGTATCTTTGTACAGAGGATCGATCAAGTTACCGTTGAATGATAGAGAGCACTTAGACCTCAAAAAGAGGTAATCCAAAAGGTGGGACAAAAAAAGCAGCAAGTGAAGAGTCACATGGTATATCATGTGGTATAGTAGCACATATGATTCACCGCTCGGATGGCGTGTGGTTTATCAAAGTTAACTCCAATATTATTTTCTTTAAAGTTAAAAAAAAAATAGCATCACAGCCTCTTCGATCAAATTACAATCTGTAGCTGCCTGTGACATATCCAATATCCATAGCTTAAAATTGCAGTATTCATTTATTAGATGCCAGTAGCCTAATGCAAATGTTAGAAGTCTTCATTCAGAAGTCGTCGGTGGCGCTGTGGATGTAGTTTGGCAGGATAAATACGTAAGAAATTATATGGGGTCGAGAGTTGCTTCGTAGTTAGCAATTAAGAGAGACGCATATCCTCAAGGGTTCGATCCCTATCGATGCCACTCTCTTTTCAAGCTTTGATGGTTGTGTGTATAGAATTTCGTCCTCCCAATTAAGTTAGCAGCAAATGCTGAAGACTCCAGTCTGAAGGACAAACAATAAATATTGGGGCACTGAGGATGGGCTGAAGCCCTTGGCCCCAGACGAACTATACAAAACACGAGGCACTCAAGATGGTCGAAGTCTTCGAGAGTCTTCACCTTTTCAATTCCAAGAAGTCAAGCTCCAGTCGCTTGAGTAGTACTGCGTCCCCTTCAGAATATCCAGATGAGCAAAAAATGCGATTGATGGAATATATATGCGATTCCTTCTAACGGAGAGCTCGAGTATAGAAGTTTTATTCTCTCGGGAAACAAGAAAGTTATCTATATAATCATAATAATAGACCGTTATGAGGGCCCCAAAAATTAGGTAACCCTACGTTTAACCAATGGCAGGTGCTTATAACTTACTAGAATTGTGAGGGCGAAGTAAAATACGCAACCATCAAAGGCCGAAAAAGAGAGTAGCGTCGGTGGGAATCGAACCCATTACTTTAATATGCACATCTATACTAACACCATAACATAGTATACACAACACCTAAGACAATTTAAAACACAAGTTTCAAAAACACAAAATAAAAAAAAAAATAAATATACATAACAAAAACATAAATATATTAAGTGTAAGGTACACAAACACAGAGCACAAAGGGAACACAACACTAACCCACTAAATTTTCTCAGGAAAAATGATCAGTGATTAATCCAATCAGAAACCTGAGAAACAACCAATAAAAATACAAGAGAAATTACTTCAACACAAAAAATTTGAGTTGGCCCACCTTATTAATTGGATACAAACTAAACACAATAAAATTTTACCTGGTTCAGTTTAAATTTATCGTATATATATGGAAGCGTATTTCGACCTTTTGTAAAGGAATAAATACAGAACGAAACTGGTCGATGGAAGCATTCTTGATTTAATATACTTCTTCATACATTTTCTATACAAATTTAGATATGTGGAGGAAAAGATCCCAGTTCATCAGTTTTAACGCAAATTACCCTTTTTAAGCAATTTTATGATTATTATTGATTATTTCATTGCTTAGTTGTTAGGATACAATGAAGGTTCACGAAAAATAAACTGGCGGTCGGGTTAATTTTTTTTAGTGCTTATTTTTGTTTTGGTCACATCTGTACATCTCTATATTATATATATATATATTTGTTTACAATTAATTTTAAAGAGCTTAAACGTTTGGATACCGGTCTGTAAAGGTTTAAATACCCCAACAAGATATATACTCTTCACCTCTGAGGTAGACGACAACTTTTATCTCCTGCGTAATGGCTTTACGTATTATTCTGTTATAGTTAATATGAAAAGAGTGGGGAGACTTCTTAACTGCTAGTCTCACTGTAAAAGCGATGAAGCAGCTTCTCCAGAACTTTTATAAAACTAGGCCCATATTAAGTTTAGTAATAGTTTTATTTTTGAATAGTAGCACAATTAAGTTACCTAATCGGCCCCACAGGTCTACCAAGTTACCATATATTTAGGAAAAAGACAACAATTAATAATCCACAGAAGGATTAGTCTGTGCGACAAAACTAAATAAAATCTTGTGGTGGTGGTTAGTAACCCTCTAGGATTGGACGCCTCCAGTGAATTAGTCGAAATATCTTGAGGCGGAGTGCCAAGCCTGCGTTACCTTCTAATTGTTACGTTAATTTTGGGCAGAAAAAAATTTGTTGGATTTTTTTTCGCCATCCATCTTTTGGTCCAGAAACATTAAACTAAATAATTTTTAAAAAAAAAATTTGCGCTTTACTGTTTTTAAATTCAATTCTGTAGCCAGGAAAACCATCTGAAAGTATTAAAAAGTCGCTTTTGCCTATAAAACTCAGATCTCTAAACCAGCATACGCTAGTAACATATAATATTACATGTGCAAGTCATGCGGCAGAATCTTTAGTTAACTTCTTCATTTAACTATACGCCCGGCTCACTTTTTTCAGTATTTTCATACCTAATATTGATAAAAAATTTCATATTCACAACATGTTAAAAACATATGTCAACTTTCGAACCGTTTGCAAGAGCCCATTGACAGCGATTTTACGTTTCCCATATAATCGTTATTTTTCTGGTGAAGTCGACTTGGACAGTACTTATTCTGAAATAAAGGCTGCACAAGCGGAGAAGAAGGAAGAGTCAAGAAATTTAGAAGGTCAACAGAATAAAAAAGAGGAAGAAAAAAGAAAACTTGAGGAAGAATTTCTGGAACTTAGGAAGACTCTTGATGCCGTTACTGTCCTAAGAGACGATTTTAAGGTAAGTTTCGCGTTAAAAGCTTCTTCATTCTGTTGTTTATGGTGTTTTTAATTTAATAAAAGGAAAAATATTTTAGAGCGCTTGCTGAAACCGAAAATGTGCGGCAACGTTGTCAAAAAGATATTGAACAAGGACGGCTTTTTGCACTTCAAAATTTTTCAAAGGTACCTTTATTTTATTTTAAAGCAAACTCAATAATATGAATTTTGACTAAATATTATTTATAATAGTCATTAATTCAAGTGGCAGACTTATTTGAATTGGTTATTAAAAATGTTACTAAGGAGCCTTTAAACATTAGTGATAAGGTAGATAAAATATGGACAGAAATGACACGAGGTGGCTTATATTTTTACTGTTATGAATAATATAAAAAATGTAAAACCTGTTTTGTTTACTAAAAAGAAAATTTAAAGGCCTTTTTTGTTCTCGTTTTTACGAGTTTTATTAATTCTTTTTCCTATATAATATAATTATATATTATCTGTCTTCTGGAGAATTCGCAAGAACTACATCCTTTACGTTAATGCTATTAATCAATTGTTTTTTACCTTACTTATTATCATATATAGGTCTTATTATGACTGAAAAAGAACTACATAAAGTATTTAGAGAGCATGGCTTAGTGTCTTATAACGTACTCGTTTTAATACTATTTTTAAAGTTCTTGTACCTAACGTATACTTATTAAGCCTCTTGGCGAAAAGTTTGATCCCAACTACCACGAGGCTCTGTTTGAAGTAGTAGATAACGAAAAGGAACCAGGAACCATTACTTTGGTTCAGAAGTTGGGTTGTATTATATATTTGTTTTTATTTTTGCTGTTTGGGTATAATAGTTAACTCTTCTATTTTCAGGCTACCAACTTAACGGAAGAACACTTCGAGCTGCGGTAGTTGGCGTATCAAAGAAAGCTTAATATTCTATAAAATAAACGAATTTACTTTTATATCGTACTCTTGTAAAGGAGTTGTTTATACTATTTTAAGTATAATTTATCGTTATTTTATAAGGCTTCTTTTTAAGATCTAAGTAGTGTTTTTATGTGGTTAAAAAAAAGTAAAGTGGACAGTGTACTAAGCTAGAGTACACTTTAATTTGCTATTGCTCGCCATAAACCCAATACTTTAGTGCTAGTAACTAAGGGAAAACATTATGCCTAAAAAACGATGGGGTTATGTAATATGTCATATGACAGTAGTAGCACAGTTATGGAGGTATTTTTTATTAAAACGTAATAGAATTTTGGCTACATTGTTAGGTATCACTTCTTCAGTAGAGATTCTTTGGAGAAATAATAAATATCAGTTAAACTATGAGCACTGTCTACTTGGGTATACTTGTCCTGAGGTTAATTAGTGCACAACTGCAAAGTGTGCCCCCGTGTCTAAGCTGTAGTATGAAAATTGAATATAACGGTTAACTTGTCAAAAGTGTTATCTGATTTAGTTCTGTTGCTTCATATAGTATTTATAACTAGTATTTTTCTAGACTGTATAACTATTGTTTTTACATTTGAACCTTCGATTGCTACTTTAAAGAGAAGAATAAAAGGTAAAAGGGGCTCACGTAAGTTAAATTCAAGCTTTTGTATAATAATCTTAGGTAAGAGTCGGGCCAGTGATCTATAGAGTTAATGTTCTTATACGTTACGTTGTTAAATGTAAAATGTCTTAACAACTTATGAAATACTATTTCTAACACGATTAACGAACATCTCTTAAATAACGTAAACAAAAAAGCTTCGACAGCCTTGTCAAGTACATTAATCTATTAAAGGTTGAAATAAATTTATAAAGCCTTAAAGTTAAAGATTTCGTTTATCTTGACATGTGCGTGGATCATTGTGTTATATATTTTTAAGCCTTTAAATAAGTTAAAAAATTTGCATTAACTTTTTAAAAAAACTGTTAGCTTCTATATAGGAAATAAGTCTATAAGTTATCCTATGTCAGCAACGGGAAAAAGAGGAACAGCCCAGCAAAGTTAACAGTTAAATGACCATTGGTCCTCTCCCCGTCTCTTTTCCTCTGCATCTCCCCAACTATCTGCTTGCTCGTTCTGGCCTCTTTGCTATTGTTTAGTTTTCCTGCAAAAGTGCTTAGGGCGGGGATGATTTCATTCGTAAATCCGCAGAACCTATCTATTTATCAAGAAACTTCTTTTCCTTATAATTTTTCGGAAAAGAAATGCCAGCCTACTTTTAATCCCTATGCTATGAACGGCGGGTATTCTCTTGTTATTCTATTAAAATAGTTTATAACTTAAAAGAAGAATACCTTTTGTGCCATACTTTCGCTTTCGGAATTAATTAAAGTTTACTAAAATAGTTTATATTTTAAGGAATACTTTTGTGTTATACTTTCGCATTCAGAATTAATTAAAGTATAACTATTCAACAGAACTATTATGGCTGTAGCTGGTGAAGATTTCGCAGTAATTGCTGGGGATACACGCTTAAGTACAGGCTATTCCATTTATTCAAGAAATATCTCAAAAACTAAACCAATGTATTATTATTCATAAAAAAAGAATTTAATATTACCAAATCTATTTGAATTTTTGGTTAACATTGTTATTCACACTTTATTATACAATGCATATCACTTAATTGCTTCCTTGTATGTACTTTTTAATATTACTTTGTGTCTTAGAATTGTTAAGTGAGCTTGCTATATATTTAGTAAGTGTCCTGTGTTTATTTTATTCTTTATAATTATTGTTTACAGACTACTCGAGCGCCTAAACTCCAGTTTATATATGCTTACTATATTTAAATATTGATCTAACTCGTTTACTCTTAAATATTTACTTTTAACTTTTGACTAAAAAGCACCTCCACTTGTGTGTTGGCTACTACTGGCTTTCATGGAGATGCGGTCACTTTACACAAGCAGTTAAATTGGAGAGCAAAAGTAAATTTTATTTATAAGTTATAGATATAGGTACATCTCAAGAAAGGTTAATTGCTATTGTAGAAACTCCTTTTAAACAAAATTTTATTTCGTTTAGCCTTATAATTTTTTGTGATAGTGTATATAGTCCATTTTAAGAAGGAAAACTTAACCCTAACCTTAACCTTAACCCCTAAAAAAACGAATGAAGAACTTGTTATTTTGTTATAGTTTACTTAAATACTTAAATTGTATACAAAAATTATAAGTTATTTTAGTTATTACTTATAATATTTATATAAATATTAAAAATGGCATTACGGTAATTACTTTTTTAACTTTTATATATGTTAATTGTGAGTAATTTTTTTACTTTCTTAACAATTGCTTACAATCTGAACCATACCACGTAGAAAATAAAGCACATGATTTACACTTTTACCCTTGCTTTGCTCTTTTGGCGTGCACACGCTTATAAAATGTTTTGCAATACCGTAAGTCTTCCCTTAAATATATTCATCTAAAACTAAAAAAAAATATATTAAAAGTAAATACAAAATGATGAACTTTTTTCGCTGGACTTTAAATTGGGAAATTAACGCAAGTAAAGATCAAAAAGTACAGGGTTTTAGTGGTTATTCATAGTATCTTCATATCTATCGTCCTTGTTCTTTTTTATATTTGTTCAGGTATGCTTTATTAGTTTCTAAAAATTTATCTTCGTTCTTTTTGTTATTTTGTATTTCATTACTATTTATTTACTAAAGTTGTTGGGAGATGTACCTTTCTTATTATTATTATACTTCTTATCTTTTTCTAATTTTGTATTGTATATACTTTAATTTTGAATTGTTTACCTCTGGGTTGCTGTTAATTCGTTAGCATAATAAAGGAATGAATGTAGTAATAGCGGAAAAGATAACACTGCAGTATTATGTTTTTTTTGTGATATCATATTAAGTATAGTAATAACTATTATATATAGTAATTACATATCCATTTTTCGTTGTGAATAGTATAGGATACTTCTTAACTTAGAGTTAAGAAGGCAAAATAATACTAATACTTAAATGAACATAAACAATATTAACAGCAGGAAATATAAAAATAATACTATTTATAATTACAATAATATATAAATATATTTCTAGAAAACGTCAATAATACTTTGATAAAAATGAAGACCCACTAATAGTAGTAGACCCGGATAATAATAGTAATATATAATAATTAAAAGTAATTAATATAATAAGAGATTTGAACTGTCTTTTAAAGAAACTTTACTACAAATAATATAAACCAAACGATTAACAGGGGTTAATATAAAGAAAATAAAGCGGTGTATGTCTTTCCAGGTTGTGATAAATTATAAAGAATGTATTTACAATATTCAAGTTGAACTAATACTTTTTATTAGTCATAAGTAATTATTTTGTGTATATCAAATAGAATGGAATATGCATTCGTTTTTAATTATTTTATTAATAATGCAAATAGGTTACACTTCCTGATACACAAGAAACTATGCGCTATTATATTTTTTATAGTAATTTTAGTTAAAATATAAGAACTGTAACAATTTATTAGCAATAATATTAATTATAGTAGTAAATAATAACAATAGCTAATTTAAATATAATAATACTAATCTAATGAAAGGTCTATTGGCAAAACCACGATAAGGAACTTTCAATTTCTGCAGCTGCTCAGTTGCTTTCCACATTGCTTTATTACAAGCGCTTCTTTCCTTATTATGCTTATAATATTTTGGCTGGTCTAGACGAAAATGGTAGTATTAAATATTAATATACCCATATTTTCCTAGTTTTTTGTTTAATTATTTTTATTATTCATAGTATATCTATTACTATTATAATTTTTTTCTTGCTGAAATTTTTGGTGTCTTTAAAAATTTTATAAAATTTAGTATATAATTATTCTATTCTTATTATACGAAAGATAAGTTAAAAAGCTTATAAATATATTCTTTAATAGAATTCATTATTAATTCTTATTATGTAGGTCTATCAAAAGATAGATGTTTACTTATAATTATATTACTTTTATTAACTCATTTAAAATAAAATTTTTTAAATTATCGTCCGCAACAAAGTTGTATTTTTTATAGTTTTGAATTTTTTTAGTACTTAATTAATATTTAACTTGTATTATATACAGTGTAGGTAATGATAGTGCTATAGTTAATTAAAAAAGGTGGCAGATAAAACTGAGCGTATGAAATATAATTAGCTAATCAATAATTTTACGTTATAGTGATTAAATATAAAACTTAATACTATAATAATTATCTAATAAAATAAATTTATATAATATAGTGCATCTTTAACGTTTACTTCGAAAACAAAATAAATAAATAAATAAAAGTTTATGTATGAGATATTACTGCGTGTGTTGCTATTATAATAGTTATATTACGATCATATATATATTAGTCAATATAAGAATATGCTGTTCCTTAGAATATTAAAAAAGTCTTTCAAAGTCTATTAAATGATACATATATAAGGAATAAAGCGTTCTTTAAATCTTTTAAACTTTCAGAACATAATAATATCTACAATATAAACTTTATTTGATAGCAAATTATATTAATTTTAAAACATTTTGATTAATAATATCAAACAACAGTTATTGACTAATTAAAAGTTTGTAATAATTAATATTAAATACAACATAATAATAATAATTAATATTACTTTGAGCATGTTTTAATGAATTAACAACATAGCGTTATATTATTATATTTACCATAAGAAAAGTAGAATTATAGTTTTAAATATTACGATAAACTTTTGATAAATTTATTAGTTTTAAGCATTATTAAATTATAGAAAACTCTAACTAAACCAATTATTCATATATGAGAGAATTATTCCTAACAATAATTATAAAACCAAATCATTGTCAAGTTTACTATTTATCATATAAGATCCTAAAATTTTGTTAATAACCTTTACTTTTAATCATTATGGTGCGCAAAACTATTGTAAATTAAATGATATTCATATAAAGATGTTGGATAAAATAAGGTAAATTAAATATTTATATGCTAACGTTATATGGCTAAATACCTCGTGGAACCTTTATTTTTATTTTTTTATTATTAAATTATACAATTTTTTTTTACATTATTTAATTTGATTATCTATATAAATCAGTATCTGTTATTTTTTTCTTTCCTTTTGTTTTTTAAAGTTTTATATAAAAATTTTTTATCTTATACTTATTATGTAAATTTTTAAGGCAAAGGTGCGGTTTATAGTTATGATCCTGTTGGTTCATACGAGCGAGAAGACTATCGTGCTGGTAAATAATTTCTATATGTTTGTTTTATTTATTACGTAATTGAGTTTACTTTCCTACTAATAATAGTATTAAAAATTTTCTTAATAATGAAAGTTGATTAATTGTGATTAACAAATTCTTATCATGAAACATATTTAAAGTATTGATATTGTTTTATAATAGAAGGAAAGGAAGTATATATAGTATTTATTTTCTTTAATAAAAATGCTGCAAAATTGCTTTATTTCAAACGTATTGGAAAAGACTGTTGGGAATTCGGTTTTTATTCGTAGTTGCTCAGTCATTCTATTTTCCATATAACGGGGGATCAATGACTAATTCTGGAAGATAAACAATAGCAGCTAACAAAATGAACTACAGGAGCATTCTTGATAATATTTTTTGGGTGGCGGTAAAGACCTTGGTAGCAGGAAAGCGCTTTGTAACCGGAGGGGAGCGGCGGAAGGGTTGCAATGTTTCCACATGTGCATGTGTAATCACATATCCGAATAGAGTTGGACACAAATTGTTTCACGCGCCATGGCGGAGACAAAAAGTTTTTGCGCAGGAGTTTGTAGTAATTATGAGTTTTTAGCAATATTTTTGGGTCAATGGTTTGTATATATGCATTCTGGTTACTTTAAAGTAAGTTTGATCATTCTCCTTTACAAAGTAAAACAGAAATGCGTGACTTTGAGTTTGCTTTAGCTAAACTTTCCTTCATCATTTATTCTTTATAAATATTTTTAGATATATAATTTCCGTCATGAATCTACTTTTAATGTAAAACTTAATGGATAATAGATATATTTTTTATTCTCGTTAACTAGCAAAGCAAAGTGAAATGTAATTTTTTATCATTATATTTTTTATTTATTATACGATATGTTCTTATTATTTAAATCTTTACCTCTTAATATTTGTTTCACTATAAAACTGGAGGTTTTTCATAGAATTTAAAGGTATACTTTATACTTTAATAGCTAAGAATCACCTTTTCTATAAATCTAAAAATTATTTTGTGACAACCCTTCTATAAATTTTATCTAATTAGGAGGAACGGGAGCATCTTTATTGCAGCCCTTTCTCGATAGCGAACTTGGCCAAAAAAATAAACAAAATATTGAAAAGAAAAAGTTTTCCTTGAGTGAAGTACTTCTTCTTGTTAAAGTAACGCTTTTTACTATATATTTATATGTACATGTTATTTTATTAAAGTGTTTCTTTTTTATATTATTATACAATATATATTGCTTTTATTTTTATTATTGCTGTTATTTTACTTGCTTGACAGCTATTTTCTTTTTAATATTTCTTTAAATATTTTTATATTTTTTAAAATTTTTTTGGTTCGCGGTGTTGTTAAAGGTGGCATGTGAAAGTGAAACAAACACTTGATATATTTGTCGCAGTTTCTTTTTAGTAATTTTTGAAAATAGTATCTCTATTTCCGTAATCGTCCATATCTTTATATGTGGTATATTAATATTTTTAGAGAATCATTTTATTTAAAATAACTTAATATTTTATGCATATATACATCAGTTTTAACCTATACACGTACTAATTAATTTTTTAAAACTTTTCTTCACATATACTTATTTGTAATGAATAAGTATTTGTGTACTTTATAAATCCTTGTTTACTTGTTCACATCTTCGCGAGTTGGAATTATGCTGAAAAATTAATTGTATATATGTTCTATTTGCTTTCATGTAAACATTATTATGTTTACTCATTAAATTTTCTTATTTATTTATAAGGATGCCTTTTCTGGTTGTGCTGAAAGGGACATCTACACCGGAGATTCCGTTGAAATTATAACCATTACTAATTTTGGGATCCAGCAGGAAACTTTTAATTTGCGTAGAGATTAATTAGATATTTATTTAACCTCAATAAAACGCTTATCTGAACTTTTTTATTATAACTATTAAATAATACTCTTAGACGATTTTAAACTTTAGTTGTACTTTCTTGTACAATTTGAGAGGGTGGCGCAAGCTTTTGTTAAACATAATTTATTTTAAATGGCCGAAGATGCACTCGTGACCTAGCTCCTAGCTTTAGCGCCGACCATTCATGTGCGAGCCCGGCAGAGAGGGAATTTAAGAGGCTGTAGGTTAAAGGCCGGCCGAACTGTTTTTTAATCCGCAAATAGAAGTGGTAATGATGATGAATATCGCTAGGCAAAAACAATATTTCTTTAGGGGATATGTTGTGTTTGTGCGCTTACATTTATTTTAGCGAGGCAAAGTATAGTTAAAATTACTGAGTACGGAAACTATATAATGTATTTTTATAATTTTATTAGCGTAGCTCTACTCCATAACCACGCGATGGAAGAAAAAATTTTGTCAAACAGCGCCACTGGCTAGTTTATATAAACAAATTATACATTTAAGCGCAATAAAGTATAATAACACAGTAGTAGTATACAAAGAATTATAATATAGAGTTAAAATTTTTAGAAATACAGTAATTTATTAGTAGCTTTTGAACGACCATATCCGCCACATACTAAACGGCGACAAACAGAGTGTAAAAGAGAAAGAGCGCGGTATCCCTATAGTTACTAATTAGGGTGATGCCCCTACGCGGTCAGCTATAATACCTCGCTAATTGTATGCACAATAACTACAGATGTTAAAATTGTATTAAAAAATGAGCAAAGAAGGTAAAAAAGAAGTATAGGGGAACTTGCCTATTTCTGGGGTTTGATTACAAGTTTATAGTTTTTTTATAATTTGTTTTTATCCTCAACTTATGAGGTTTAAAAAGTTCAGGATTTTTTATAATTAAAATAGTTTTAAGAGTGGTAAATTTTTTCTCAGCTTAAAAAGGTTGGAATACCCGGGATTATTTTTAATCAAATAAAGATACAGAGTAGCAGCTTTTTAGTTGACTTGTTAAATTAAGAGTTAAGAGTCGAAGTTTTTCGTAAGTTTTGCAGTCCTTTTGGTTGGTTTATAAAAAAATATTGCTTCATAAAACTTTGTAAATTAGCAGTGGAAGCTATGAAAGCGTCTTAAGAAAATTCTAATGGATAAACGCAAAAGTACTTTTTAGGTTAACCTAGAATTCCACTTGCATTTGTGGGTAGCTTTTTATAACGCAAAATTTGCTTGCTAGGTCTTCAGTTTAAAGCGTATAGTTTGTAAAATAACTATATTATTTTTAAAAAACGGATATCAATTAAAAAGTTAACGTATAGGGTATACTTTCTTAAAATGCTAGTAAATTTATTACTAACTTAAGTTTAGTTATATAGTAAATTGATAATTTGTTTTGTGTATGTAATAAATAATTTTATGTAATCAGCATACGCACCAGCTTATTGCATCGCGCTTGGGTGTATTGTTTTTTTGTAAACCAATTTTGGTGTGGATTAAAAAAAAACATTTTTCGTAAAATTTTAAACATTACAAGATGGATAAACAAGATCATACAGCAAAACCTTTTAACTTTGTCCGCTTTATGTTAAAGTACTAATAAAAGCTTGGTTTCACTGAAGCGCTTGGCAGTGGATTATTGCCACGACCCTACGTGTAATATGTTCCAAAGTTCTTTCTAATGGCGCTATGAGACCTTTTATACTGTGTCATTTGCTTTCAAAGCCTGTAGATTTCACTGATATGCCACCGAACTTTTGCAAAAGATTATGTGAATAGATGAACTAGGAAAGTAAAATAAAACGGTGACGTCTAGTGACAAGTTGCTGCACCAAGCGTCTTATTTAGTCGCTTTTTGAGTAACTAAAACGATAAAACCGATTACTTTTGCTAAGGAGTTAGTAAAGCCTTACTTCTTATAAGCCCCACAGGGAATCTGGTCTCTTCAAGACACAAAAAGACTAGAGGTTATATTGCTCTTTGACAACACTATTTAAAGGAGAATTCTTGACTTGGCCCTTAATACTGAAAAGCAAGTTGTAGAAAGAAAAAGAAATCGAGATGTTTTGTGGTTGACCTTTATGAAATAACTGACGTGGGTTGCCTTGCTATCTTTCTTTGTTTCGTAAAGTACAGTGAAGACGAAGACTTGAGGGGAGAACATCTTGGTTGCCTTGATTTCCCTAGACTGATTACTACTTTAGAGAGGGACATACCCTCGATAACAATTTATGAGCAAAGGGCTTAGTCTTAAGTATATACGTGGGTGTGTGTGCGGACGGTGCTGCGATCTTGACTGTTCGTCGTGCAGTAGTTGCGAAATATAGAGGAGTGGTTTCTTCGCACACTGTATGATCCATCTGGGGCAACTAGCTGCAAAGGAGCTCTCTGCTGAACTAAATATTGTAAAGATCATTAACTAAATTGTTGTTTACAACACTGCGTGAGTATCTGGACTCACATGGCGAACATCTTCTCTTCCATGCAGAAGTGAGATGGTTATCGAAAAGAAGAGTTCTTGCACGCCTGCTTGAACTACGGGGAGAAATCAGTTCCCGCTAAACGAAAATCTGACCTAGTAGAGTTTTCATCGAATAGGTATTAAATGGCTAAGCTTGTGTATATAGCAGAGTGAACATATATAACCCTTTAAAAGCGTATATCTCTTCGAAATCTTTATCATTATGTTTACAAGCCTTTAAAAAGGGTCCGATTCCTAGGAAGAGGAAAACTTAAAAATATTTACACTTTAAAAGAATTTTAAACTGATGCTGATCTCATCCACAAAATAATATTTAACATAAAAAGAACAATAAGAGCGTTAGTCGAGAAATTAATTATTTACTCTAAAAAATAGGAACTCCTTAAAAGAATTCCATGAACTAATACTTCAGTCATGTAAATTATGCGCACTTGATCCCCAAGAGAAAGCAAAGCTGATAAATTTTGTTTTTTGATGTCACTTTGGTGCCCAGAGATGAAACGCAATTATCGTCTTCTCTTAATACCCCCAACAAATAATATATTCATCTAAGTTACGAAATCTTAAAATATTATAAAATCACATTTAAATAATAAAATACTTTAAATAATTTTTGTGGACTGCGGGTGTGAAAAGGTTGAGGAATTTTAATTGTGTACAAACCAATGACAAAACGCAAGAATTTATTTTAGGAGTCTTTAAGTTCTGCAATTTCTCGATGTACCACTGAGACCGCCTCGATAGTGTTATTAGAGGCACAGTTACTTTGGGCGGTAACAACATTTAACACTATGCAATATCTCTGTTCAGTCCTGCTAAACATTAAAAATAGAGCGTTCATTAATGACCAATCGGAACCTGCTGTCTGTCATAGCAAGTATTTAATTGGCCATCAGGTCACGATACCGCATCATTAGTACTTTAACTGACGAAAGACGTGCATGGCGAAGACAGGCTCAGTATTCGTGCTAAGGCTGTACGAATGTCGAACCGTCCGCCCGTCCTGCTTGGGCGACTAAAGGGAGACATTAAAGACATTTACCGAAACGTTAGCGGGCTATTCTAAATTTTTGAGGGTGGGGGGGGGGGGGGGGAGTGCTCCTTAGAGAAGCTCTTAAAACATTCCCGGCACTACCTAGGACCTACATAAACAATTGCTGAGTCGAGAGAGACCATGGCGTGCTACTCCTGCCACGACGGCATGTCAAGTTCAGAACCGCCTTGCTTGAGTTAAATGCTCTAACCTAAGAGTCAACGCCTCTTTCGAGTATCTACGTTGTCGTAACGCCTCGAAAGCAAATTTTTTGCATTTTAGCGACTACATCGGGACTTCCGGAAAGAGCTGTTGACACACCACAAACGTCAGTGGAAGACAAAGTGAAGGTACATACAAGAGGCTGGCGATAACGGCCGTTTGTCTTTCTAATCGTTCAATGAGAATTACAAAATTGGGCGTTTTTACCCTAACCCTTTTACGAGACGGCGACTTCGTAGCGGAAGAGAATGTAGGCAAAGCAACAAATTTTGCCGATCACATTGCTAATTAGTGTTGACCTCTTACTTTAGCTGCAGATGAAATACCCCGTAAATCGAACTTTTTCGCTAAAGCTAAAAAGCAGCTTGTGCCAATTATTATATTAGAGGTTAAAGGGATTATTAAAAGTTCTACCAAGGAAAGCTCCCAGTCTTTAAGGTTACACTAACGTGAATTTAAAACAAATCCCAATGGTAACAGTGGATCGTCTTTACTACCTTGTCAACTTGACGGTGGCCCTCGACTCCTTCCTATAGCGACTACTGTTGTGATGCTCCCGAGAAAACACCGAGAGCAGCCTCTGAGCAAAGTAGCTAAAGCCGTGATACTGCGCCAGCCTTTTTTTTAAGCAAGCCAAGCCCTGCTAGAGTTCCAATTTGTTTACCAGTAAAGCCATAAACGACGCCATCTTTATTAACGTTGAAAAAACCTTTGATTGAATTGCACAAGGGGTTGTTTTACAAATTGTGTTTATGATTTAATCACCCTTCAGCACGTATTTAAAATTTGGAATGGGGGTAACTATTTAAAATCAATTGCTTCAATATGTAGGGCATATATATACATATATTTAACTAAATAGATGGTGGCTCGTCAATTATTTTCTCGCCCTTTCATACTTTCTCGGTTTTTACCGAGTCTTTATGTTTTAGTTTACGTTGGTCTAGAGGACCAGCAGTCAAATAAGATCTGTCAACTTTTTTCTGTACAATTAATTTATTTGATATTAACACATGAAAAAATATTAATTTAACTTTTTGTCTTAAAAAAGAACACCAATTAAAGGCAAAAAATCTGTGGCGGATTAATAAAAATAATTTAATTTTTAGCTTTCTAAAAATATTAACATAAGCCATTCTGTGACTAATTAATTGAGCTCGGTGATTTATCCGCTTATGCGTTTATTCTTCTTTTTTTCTTAATACCCTATTCATCCAACACTAGTCACTACCAAAACATAAGTGTGTG